CCGGGGTGCTCCCGTCCCCGGGGGTGCTCCTGTCCCCGGGGTGCTCCCGTCCCCGGGGTGCTCCCGTCCCCGAGGTGCTCCCGTCCCCGGGGTGCTCCCGTCCCTGGGGTGCTCCTGTCCCCGAGGTGCTCCTGTCCCCCGTGTCCCCCAACATTTGTGCCTTGGGCAGTCAGGAGATGAGACCTGAGTACAGAACTGGGTGTCTGGCACCAACCAGCAGCTGAACCCTAAAGCGTGGTGCCTGGTCCCCTGTGCGTGCTGGGAAGGAGCTGCTTGTTAAGCCTCAGGGACAAGTTTCAGGGCTGCTTAATCCCTGGGATGTGTCTGACTCAAAACACGAGATAACAAAAGCCTTGCAGCAGAACATCTGTCTAATCAGAACGTCACCCTGAGGTGGCTCAGCTCCCGGGGATCTCAGGACATGGGCATCTCTGCTGGGGGCTGGCAGGTCACCAGCACACAGGGTGGGTGGGGGGCTCTTTCCTCAGACCCCTGAGTGCTGGATGGTCACCAGGTTAGTGTGGAAGAGGACCAAGGGGGTGTAGGATGATGGAGGCCCCCATGAGATGTACTTGGTGGTGGTTGGGGTCATGCTCTCTGCTGCACCTGAGCTTGGCAGTAACAGGTACAGCATCACCCTGTGAGTGGACAAGGCTGTTCCTGGTGATGGGGACCCTCTGCCTTTGGTGCAGCCCTCCCTGTGTCCCTTCTGGGCTGCTGGACTCGTGTGGCCTTTCTGTCCTCATCCCTGAACTGTGACCTGCTCCTCCTGCAGCACCACGGCGGGGCCCAGGTGGACATCTATGAGAAGCTGCCAGTTCCCTTTGGGCTCGTCCGTTTTGGGGTGGCCCCAGACCACCCCGAGGTGAAGGTTGGTGCTTCCTCCCCTCGCCCCTGTGGTTGAACATGATGGTGGTGGTGGTGAGTGCAGGAGAGGCAGCCACTGTCCTTTGTAGTCCCTCAAGTCTTGCTGCAGTGTGGAACTGTCACACTGGAATGGTCCAGGTCTCCTCCTTGTCTGTGCTGAGACCCAGCAAGGCCATGGCTGGTGATGTGGGACATCTGGCATTAGGAGGCAGTGGGTCAAAACAGGGGCTTGTGATGAGAAGGGCTGGTCAGCCTGGCTTGGAGCAAGACTAGTGACACTTTACGCTGCAGGACCTTGCCACCTCACTGCTGTTGCTTTTTGCCCCTTCTCTGTCTGTGCCCATTCTGGGTGCCCAGGAACACACAGACCTGCTGTTGGGGTGGTGGAGTTGGGCTGAAGGGGCACACCTAGGCAAGGAGAAGTTAATCCAAGGAGCTCTTTGAAATCAGCCATTTTCCTTTGCCTCATAGGGGGGTAAGCTGTACTCAGGGGTATCTGCTGTGTCTGAGCTGGGGTGGATGTGGTTGGAGTGGCAGGACAGAGGAGATCCAGACACAGCAATATCTTGTGATGGTTTCCTCTAATCCCTGGAGATCATCAGACCAAAATGCCTGGATCCTTTTGAGCTGAGAGAGGAGGAGCTCACAGGAGGGCTGTGGGTTTGGGGCAGTGTCTGTGTCCGGTGGTACCTGTCCTGTTCCTGGGCTGAGTCCAGCTGAAGCTGTGGGGGAAGAAGTGGTTGTTTGGCTGTGTAGCCCCAATCCCTCAGAAGAAAAGGTTTTGGGCACCATCCTGCCCTACATTATCCCATGATGAAGTGGGTTTCAGGAAGGGCTGAGACAAGAGGCTGGCAGAGGGGTCTGGCCGGCGGCACCATGGATGGAAGGGACGGTTTGGGCTCCCTTTGGAAAGGAGTTTTCTCCTATGAGGGGCTTTTCTTGGCAGGGCTGAAGGTATGGAAAGGGGCCTGCCTTCCCCAGACTGGTGCAAAAGATGGATTTTCCTTTCCAGGAATGGTGGTGGAAAGAGGGCCAGGTCCCAGCTGTGCCTCCCTGTGAGTTATCTGTGGCTGCTCGATAAGAGCCTCAGAATAACCGGCTCAGAGAGGGGGAGAAGCATCTCAAGGCTGGGGCTGGAGGGGGGGGAGGGACAGGAACAGGGACCTCCTGTCAGCAGGTGGCCTTGGCCACCCCCTTAGAGCTTGGACGTAACTCCTGGCCCCTCTTTGATCCCTGCAGAACGTGACCAAGGCCTTCACGCAGACGGCGCGCTCGGGGCGCTGCGCCTTCCACGGCAACGTGGCGGTGGGCAGGGACGTGACGGTGGCAGAGCTGCAGCAGGCTTACCATGCTGTGGTGCTGGTGGGTACCTGGCTGCCTCAGCCCCCCGGGAGCTCTGCAGGGTTTCTTTCCCACTGGGATCTCAGGGAAGAGGGGTTTAGGTGAGGTGTTTCTGGCCTCAGGGTAGCTTGGATGCTCCCAGGCTTGTCCGGAGCCTTGCAGGGAGTGTCTGCTGGAGCATGGGATGAAACACAGGGCTCTGACACCCTGCTGCAAGGGGCAGTGGTTGAGGAGCCTCTTCCCTCTGATGGATTAAAACTGGAAGAGGGGAGATTTAGGTGAGACATTAGGAGGAAATTCTACGCTCTGAGGGTGGGGAGACACTAGAACAGGTTGCCCAGAGAAGCTGTGGCTGCCCCATCCCTGGCAGTGTTGAAGGGCAGGTTGGATGGGGCTTGGAGCAGCCTGGGCTGGTGGGAGGTGTCCCTGCCCATGCAGGGGGGGTTGAATTTAGATGATCCTTAAGGTCCCTTCCAACTCAAACCATCCTATGATTCTATGATCAGTAATACTTCTTTCAGCCTGACACAGATTTGTCCCTCCTGTTTGGTCCCCAGCTTGTTGAGCTTTGCTTTGGCCCAATGAGGTCAAGTTTGGCTCTGGAGCTCAGGGGATGGAGTGGATGAAACCTGTGTGCTCAGGCTGTGTTTAGCCCCTCCACTGAGCATCCTGACCCTTGGGAAGCATTGGCAGCTGTGCAGGGACCCTGGCAGCAGCTGGAAGGGGAGCTTGGTGTTTGGGTATCAAACCCTGCACAGGGTGACATCTCTGACTCTGTCTGCTCCTTCCCCAGAGTTATGGTGCTGAAGATAACCGGGTCCTGGGGATTCCAGGAGAGAACCTCTCTGGTGTCTACTCAGCCCGGGAGTTCGTGGGCTGGTACAATGGGCTGCCCGAGAACAGGGACGTGAGTACAGGCCTGTGCTTCCCTGCCCTTCCTCCCCGTCCCGCATCCCAACGCAGGCATCCAGCTCCAGATTAAGTCCTGAAAGGCCCACGATTGGACCAGCTTAGCAGGCACCATGTGAAATCCTTCTTAAATGGTAGAAATGTGAACCGTTTGCACAGCAGTGAGAGCGGATTAGCTGGCTCTGGGGGTTGGCAGCACGTTTTGGCCTGGCCAGATGGGACCCCGTGGGGGGGTGATGCTGTGCTTTGGCCTGAAAAGGCTTTTTTTTTTGGCCAAAATAGCTCCTGCTCTCCTAGAGATGCCGTCACACAAAGAAGGGGACAGGGATCAGCTGGGATGCCTGGAGCAGCTGTGTCTGCTCAGGAGGCTGGTGTGGAGTTTTCCCTGTCTGCACCACCTCTGCTCTGGGGAAAAGAAGAGTGGAAGGGAATTTGGGTGGTGGGAGTGGGTCTGAGGGGTTGGACATCATGGAGGCTGGGTGGATTTGCTCACAGAAGGATCTTTCTGTCCCTGCAGATGAAGCCTGACCTGAGCTGTGAGACAGCACTGGTGCTGGGTCATGGCAACGTGGCCCTGGATATTGCCCGGATCCTCCTGTCCCCACTGCAGCTCCTCAGGGTGAGTCACAAGGTGCTGCCTGGGCTCCAGATTCACTCCCTGCTGGCTGGGTGCTGGTTCCCTCCCATCTCAGCAAAACCTCAGACTCCAGAATTTGGGGTCTTTCCCCAAGGAAGGCTGTTGCCTCTCAGGTGCACCCTATGGATTCACAGTCCGTATGGAGTCACCCAAAACTGCATCCGTGCCTTGGGTAACACTGCAGAGCTCTTTGGGTTGCTGCTGGTACCCGAACAGTTGGCAATTGGGCTTCCTCCTTTCCTTTCATATGAGAAGCAAAGGAGGAGCTGCTTGGCCTTTTCCAGCATCAAACTAGAAGATTCTCCTGTTGGGATTTTATTTTACTTTTCTGCTGTAGCTGAGGGAGGCAGCCTGGTTTCTGCTGGTAGCACTGGCTGCACTGTTGGCTGGTCCAAGCTGGTGGACCTCTTCTCCTGTTGCCATGCTCCCTTCTAGACAACTGGGAGCTGGTCTGCACTAGTTACTCTATACAGCTGCTGCCCCAGATGTTGGCAGCAGAGGCTTTCCTTCCTGGAGAAATGCCACAAGGTTTATTACAGCTGTGCAACAACTTCTTGGATTAATATCTAAATTAAATATTCAAAAGAACCAACTTGAAGGCACTGCCAACCAGTGGCTAAAGCCATTTGGGCAGCACTGCTGTGAAGGACTTGAGGCTTGAAATGAGTGCTGGGGTGTGCAGGCAGTTTCCTGTTAAGAATATTGGTTTGGAATGGTTTTTCCTGGTTATCTGGTGTCCCTCCTGCTGTGTCTTCTCTGGAAAAGATCTTGCAATCTAGATACACAGACGTGAATGAAATGGAGGATGGGGTTGCTGTAAGATGCCATCAGTGCTTGAATGAGCTGTGGTTTGCAGCAGGTTTCACCTACATGCCTGGATGTCCCCAGCTGGGAAGTCACCCCACAGCATCTGCAGGCATCCTAAAGTTGAGATCACGGGGAAACTTTGCTCCATTAGCCCCAAGGTGAACCTGCTTGAATGGGCCCCCTGAGGCACTTGCACAGGGTGCTGCCTCGTTACCTCAGGTGCATGATGGTCTTGGGAAGTGCTTGCAGGGAGGAGGGACCAGCTGTGCCAGGAGCTCTGTGCAAAGGGAGATGACTTGTTTCCCATGCTCACCAGGCTCTGCATGCCCAGCCTGCTTTTGTGCTGATTTTTCACCTTCAGAGGCTCTGCCTTTCCCTTGGCTCCCTCCGGCTCTGCCCTCATCCCACACTCCTGTCTCTGTCTTGCAGAAGACAGACATCACTGACAGCTCCCTGGCAGCTCTGTCCTGCAGCAAGGTGAAGCGTGTCTGGCTGGTTGGAAGGAGGGGACCTCTTCAAGTTGCCTTTACTATCAAGGTAAGGCTGGGGGGGCAGCTGTGTGCCCCACCATTGAGCCCCAGTTCACCTATCCTTGGCAGGGAGTGGTGGTCTAGGGATGAGTGGGGATTCCAGGCATCTTCTTTCCTGCTGGCCCCTAGCCTGGACTGCTGGGGAAGGGGGCCTGGGGTTGTTGGATGACCTCTGGGGGTAACATCTTCCTGCCTGCAATCCCAGGAGCTGCGGGAGATGATAAACCTGCCTGGTGCCAGACCCGTCCTGGACCCTGCTGACTTCACAGGCCTTGAAAATGCTGTCAAAGGTGAGGGAAGCTCCTCCAGGCAGGGTCTCACCTTGACAGGCGAGCATCCAGGAGTGATCTGGAGGTGCTCAGAATGCTCATCAGAGAAACTCTTGCCCTGTGCTTAATGTGGAAGCCAGTCGGCCCTGGTGTGGTTTGTCCTCAGAGTGCTAGGAGGGAACAACGTGCTCCTCTGTGCAGCCACTTGGCTGCTTGGGAGTGATGCTTACTTTCTGAATGACGAAGGGAGGAGGTGCAGGAGGGCTAGGAGAACCTTGCAGGAGAGATCCCAAGGCTGTTGATTTAAGAGCTTCCTGCAGAGCTAAAAAGAAAACACCGAGTTCAAGGGTGTCCAGAGACTTGCTCTTCTGCACAGTCTGCTGCCTCCGTGCACAAGCAGGACAGCAAAATTGCAGGCTTTGACTTATGTGTCCCACTGGGTTCAAGCATCAGAGGCTTTCCTGGTCACTTTGATTTGCAGTTTGTCATCTCAGAGGCGTTGGACTCCCATTGGCATGGCAAACTCCAAAAGGACACTCACAGCCCACTGGCCTTGGCTCTGTGCTGTGTCCCCAGGAGCTTTTGCTGTGGTTCCTGTCCTGAAGCTCCCTCTCTGCCTCCTTCTTCCTAGATGCCCCCAGGCCCAGGAAGCGACTGACTGAGCTGATGATCAGCACAGCCCTGGAGAAGCCCGGGGAGAAGATGATGGAGGAGCAGGCAGCAGCCCCCCGGGAGTGGGGGCTGAAGTTCCAGCGCAGCCCCCAGGAAGTTCTGCCCAGCGCCGACGGGCAGCGGGCGAGGGGCGTCCGCCTGGCCCTGACCCGCCTGGAGGTAGGGGCTTGTTGTGGGGGCTGCTGCAGCCCTGGGAGGACTGGGGGTGGAGCATGATACCCTGCAGCTCTTGGGAACCTCTCCAAAGACAGCTTTGTGTTCCCTGGCTGGTTGGAGTGGCCCCTGGCAGGTTCTTGAGGAAGCTGGTACCACCGCCAAGAGCCTTTCCCTGTGGCAAGGGGGACCTTTCCATGCTGCTGAAATGCCTGTAGCAAA